AGACATCTTTCGAACGTTTTGAACAGGAGTATCACCCACTATATCGAAGTCTGATTCATGGTAAAACTTTCTTCGCCCACTTCATGGCTTCATGAACCCAGCATCGTCTCTTTCAACATCTTTTTGACAGGAGTGATCATTCTTTTGACGTTTTTCTTCTTTCTTCCTCGCTTTCTTTTTTGGGGGGGGGGGAAATTTTCGCGTGCTTACTATCTCGTCCATAATTAGTGAATGACAACTAAACTAAACTAAACAATACTGATGACCCTCTCCTTCTTTGCATATTTTGCACATTAATGAAGGAAGCTGCCCTGCTTTTTAATTGGTGTGAATGAAATAATTGTAAAATGTGACCCAGTGATGTATGCCGGCATGTAGCATTTCCTGTGCTATTAACAATTAAATCCCGCAAAACAGAGTTTTACCGTCGCAGTAATGTCATGAATTTGTTTTTGCGTATCTGTTGGTCGACTTAATTAACTGATTATTAGCGAATTGCTGTGTTATGTTTGTCATCGTTTAGGCCTATTTGACGTTTTGGACGGAACTTGGCTCAGTGATTTGGAACTAATTACAAGATAACCGCCGCTATTCAGACTACTCATTCTGACAGTTTATATTCATAGTTATTAATGTAGTGAACGATTAATCAAAGATATGACGTATTCAGTACTTAGTGTGATTGGCTTTATGATTGAAGGTTACGCCCTCGAGTCTTTTTACTGCTTTGTAATTGGTTAGAGTTTTCAAAATGAATAAAGAGAGTTTGAGTTGGTCTTGGCGAATACTCCACGAGAGACACAGTCGTAGTCGAGTCCTGGAGAGACTTGGGGCGAGTGTTGACGCAGTCTAAGAGAGTCTTGGTTCAGCCTTGTGATGAGTCTTGGGGATTTTTTCCCCAGGGCGCTGTGTCTTATAGAGTGCTCGATTGACCGACTAAGACGAGAGCTGAAACGTAATTCGGTGTGTGTGTCTTATTTGACTTTCCCGATCCCGCACCTCAAGGGGACGAGATATAGAGACGAGACGAGTTTCTCCCCTGACAAGTGTGGAGAACCCAGAGAGAGAGAATTTACCCCTGATAGTAACCTCGGGTCTTATACTTGTAGATGAATCTCTTCAAAATTTAATTGTAACCGGACTCACTGTTATCATCTATAAAAACTACCTAGATTTTAGATGATACTTATATTTTTTACCAAAGTCGTACGAAAAAGTCAACCCTTGCCTTGCGTGAAACACTGGTCCATATCCGATGTCAAGACGTCGGCCTTGGGGGGGGGGGACGCTACTATTTCGTTGCTGTGCATTTTGTTCGCATGAGTACATTAGATAAAACAAAGACAATAGAAAAGATCTTTGGATAAAACAACCAAGTATTTATCAGACAGATTTATTACATGTAACATAATTTAGGAATTTAGAAAAACCAAAGCATGCAAGTATGCCTACTTGGTGAAAACTCCTCTGACATGGGGATCATATAAACCAGGTCCAAGCATATTCTTATCATTGATCAACCTTTACATGTAGTTTGTGGCCTGTTATCAGAATTTTCATGCAATGGAAAGCCCCCCCCCCCCCCCAATGTAACTGCATTACTTCTGGACTGTAAGAAAGTAACCCCGTGGTCAGACACCTTTCAATGACAAAGCCAAGAAAAAATATTACAGAAATTTATTGTAAGTTTTTATTCTGTTAACACATAATTACATTGAAGTGGTACATTCATGTACTTTTTTGTTTATTCAAAATTTGTTGTGTTTCAAAAGCGATTGTTTTGTCTTTGCTATACTTCCTCATCTAGAAAAGCAGCAGTGCACACATCTTATCAGCTGTGTGTAAACTACAAACAGATATCTTATCAGTTGTTTGTAAATAGCAAATAAAGAAAGTGGCCCAACTTAAAACTATTTACCCTCAGTTCAGTTATGTTTGTAAACCATGCATATTAATGAGATGCACTAGTT